ATGTATATAGATGAAATAATTATTGCATGCTCTAGCATGTTTGATATTAAAGCTAGAAATTATAGACTTAGATATATAATTTATGGATAATGGAACAGTAGCTATTTGATAAAACCTATAGCAAAAGAATTTCAAAATTATTTAGATATAAATTGTGATAATACTCGAAGTACATTATATGCTAAATTTCCAAAGGATTATTTACTAACTAACTATATTTATTTTGGAGTTTTTAGTATCACCAAATGGAAAAAATATACTATATATATTATCAAATTGTAAAATTGGATTATATTCTGGAAAAAATCACTTATGGATTTTACAAAATGTAAATATTTATTGGGATTATGTAAAATTATACTCCAAGGAGATGCTAATATTGTATTATATACAGAAAAAGAAACTTGTTGACTTGTTTACAATATTGTTTAAAGTCACATTGTAAAATGCTTACATTCATTACAGTTCAAAATGATTGTAACCTTGTGATTTATTTATCTAGTCCCATAAAGGAAGTGTGGTGGGCACATACTCATCCAGATTATATGAAATTACTACTTACATTTATAGATGAATTTGTTTAAGTCAACATATAACAGCTTCATAAACATAATATTAAATCATAGCCACAGAAAATGTGGAGAAGTATGATACTTATTCTAAAAACTATATTCTTATACTATAACTAGTAATGCCTAGCAAATGCTGGGTGTATACAAAAATATGGAATTTAATAAAAACTTTTTTCCTTTAAATATACACTGTATATATATATATATATATATATATATAGACACACACACACATACATATACAGCATATAAATATATTTAGTACACTAATATTTTAAAAGAACTAATCTATTACTACTGAGACATAGACAAAATTATAAGGACAAACACTAAACATAAACAATTTTATTATAGATATTAGATATATTATTTAACTATATAGTTTTACTTTTTTATGAATATATTTATAAAAATAATAATTTACAATATAATACTACCAAAAATTAAATGAAGAAATACTAAAAACAATTATTATTAATACAGATGTTACTAGTAAAGTTTATAAAGAGGAGGTTTCCATAGAAAAAAGATTTAAACAATTTTCTTGGAGGGAAGTATGTTTTCTTGAGCTTTTGTTTGGTTTTAGAGCCAGGTCACATGCCTCGGCCCCCCACCTTCCCCCCCCCCCCCCCCGCCCCTTTTTTTCAGAGCAATCTTTACTCTTGGTCCTTGACTAAAACCATGGTCACATGTAAATGGACCAAAAGTAAACTTCACTCTCTCAGGAGTAGACTTACTCCTTGTTTTAGTCCCTAGTAGAATTCACTCCTCTTGGAATAATCCATTCAAATGCTAGCATCTGGATAATTTTTAATTTGGTTTAATGTTTGATTGACATGGCACTTTAGTCCACATGAGAGTAACCTTCCCACCCAGAGTAAAGTACATTTCACACTATAACCTGACTCATCCTAAAGGTAACGATAGTTAACTAATTTAGGATAGATACAGAGTTAGATTATTTCATTCAAATCCAAGTAAAAGAATAATAATAATTTTGAACGTGACGAAGGTAGACCTAAGTTACGATCTAGGGCAGAGCACCACAATGGCGCACAAGGCTCTGTTCCTCCTTGGATTGTCACTGGCTCAACTAGGAATCCTCTCTGTCTTCGCCAATCCGATGGTAATGCCGTTGGAGCTCGTCGCAAATTCTCATCGTAGGCGCGACAGGGAGCTGCTAGGAAGTGCGCGAATGGATTTACACGACGATCTCCTCACTAAAGGGTCTGTTGTCTCGAATTTCGTTTGCTCCTTTCTCTCCTCTGGCGCAGCCACGCTCAATCCAAATTCTTGCAGGTATTATACAAGCAGAGTTAAGATTGGAACACCACCTCACGAATTTTCTCTCATTGTCGACACTGGAAG